GCAGGGAGGGGGCGACCTGGGGCGGCGGGGAGCTACTTAGGGAACTGAGGCCAACGCGGGGCCTGTTTGTGAAGGAGCCGCTGCTCTCTTTGACAGGTGGCGGCTCGGGTAGGGCGGTGAGTGTTCAGGGCAGGCCTGATGCAGGGTCTAGGCCGGGAGTCTGTGCGTGAATGCGCGTGTTCGTATAAGTGCGTGTGTGGGTGCAGGTGTGTGTATGTCTGGGGGTTTGTGTGCCGATGTGGGTGAGTGCACGATTGTGTGTGTGTGCATGTGTGTCCGTGTAAGTTTGCAGGTGTGTGTGCACGTATGTATGTGGGTGTGTGTTCTTGAGTGTGTGCACGAGCAAGTCTGTCCGTGCGTGTGTGTGTGTGTGTGTGTGTCTCAAAATTGAGGCATTCGTTTAGGCGGGATCACTGTGCGTGCTTCTGATTGGAATTCTGAAAATGAATTTTTAAATTTTTCTGGTTTTGGTCTTTTTGAGACAGGGTCTCATTGTAACCCCAGCTGACCTGGAACTCCTTATGTAGACCAGGCTGGCCTTGAACTCACAGAGATCTGCCTCCTGAGTGCTGGGATTAAAGGTGTGCACCACCACACTCAGTGAAAATGATCCTTTAAAATAGTTTGTGTGAGTTTATTGCCTGCATGTTTGTAAGTGCACCCGTGTTGTGCAGTGCCCGAAGAGGCCAGAAGAGGGCGTCACATCTCCTGGAACTGGAGTTGAGGATGGTGGTTAACCACAGTGTGGGTGTTGGAACTTGAACCCAGGTCCTCTGCAAGAGCAGTCGGTGCACTTAACTGCTGAGCCATCTCTCTAGCCCCTGAAAATGAATATGCTTTATTTAATATGGCAAATAATTCGGAGAAAAGATGTCTTACTTTTTCTTCTCAGTGACTGACTGTATCAAATTTTCCAGTCTCTTGCTGTATGTAAAATTTGGATTGGTCACAATACTTTTTTGTCTTGGTGGAATAGTTAGTGATGACTTGGTAATATTTTTTTAATCACTGAAACATTCCTTCTTGGTAAATTCAAGTTTTTTTTCAGACTAATTCATTGGTTTTTACTTAGCTTTTGTGACTATGGTGGTTAGTTGTAGGTACACGTATTTCCTCCTTCCTCATCTGTTATCATCTCGTCTCTCTGAACAATAAACACTTACCTTTGTTTCACATGTTCATTTCTGTTCTCTCTGACTGAATTGTAATTGATTCGGTGTAAAAAGTTAATAATCTTTCCTGGTTTTTGGTAATCACTGGTGATGGAGTGGGACCCAGGGCCTCTGCCAGGACTCAGCTGTGTCTCCAGACCTGTCCTGTTTTCATTATCTCATCAGCCTCAGCTTTAGTCCTAGTTTTTTTGTTTGGGCGTTTTTTTAAGATTTAAAATTTTGTGTGTGTATGTATGCACATGTGCATGCAGGTACCCAAGGAGGTCAGGAAGTGTCATCCTCCGGAGCTGGAGTTACAGGTAGTGTGAACAGCCCCACATGGGTCCTGAGAACCAAACTTGAGTCCTCCGAAAGAGCAGTACTCACTCTTAACTGCTGAGCCATTTCTTCAGCCTCTGATTGGTATATTTGTTAGTTTTTTGAGACAGAGTCTCACTGTATAGCCCTAGCTGGGCTGGAACTCACTGTGTAGAATAAGCTAGCCTTGTACTTACAGAACTCCTGCCTCTTGCCTGTCAAGGGCTGGGATTAAAGCACATGCCACCAGGCCCTGCCCCTGATTGGTGGTTTGGTTTGTTGGTCGTTTTTTTGGGACAGGATCTCATTTTGTAGCCCTGGCTGGCCTGGAACTTGCCATGTAGACTAGGCTTGCCTCCATCCTCCTGCTTCTGCCTCCTTAGTGTTGGGATTAAAGGGTTGTGCCACCATGCCTGGCCTCTGATTTGTCGAGTTTTTTTTTTTCAGAAAGTATCTTGCTATGTGTTCTGGGCTGATCTGGAACTTGCTGTGTAGACCAGACTGGCCTTGAACTTGTGGTGATCCTTTAGCCTTTGTCTCCTGGATGTTGGGAGTCCAAGTGCATGTCACCACACACAGCTTCCTATCTCTTATTTAAAAAGTGTGTGATCTGTGGGAGAGAGACGTGGTGAGGGGTTGGTGATGTGTATGGGTAGCAGTCGGTGAATATGACCTATAGCCAGAACAATTTAAGAGAGCTGTGGGCAGCCCCGGATGTGGCTCAGGGTTAAAGTAGTGCTGGTCTACCATGGTGAGACTTGTGAGAGAGGAGGCTGGAGCCGGGAGGGAGAGAAAGAGAGAGAGGGGGAGAGATTGCTTCTTTATAAAAACACATGGTAGCCGGGCGTGGTGGCGCACACCTTTGATACCAGCACTTGGGAGGCAGAGGCAAGCGGATCTCTGTGAGTTCAAGGCTAGCCTGGTCTACATAGTGAGTTTCAGGCCAGCTGGGACTACAGAGGAAACCCTGTCTCTAAAAGGGAGAGAAAAAAAAAAACCCAAAAAAACACATGGTAGCCTTTCCTTGTGAATATGGGAGCTGGTCACATCAACAACAAAAAAATGGACTGGTATAATACCTCACAGCAGTGAACCTGAGTTTTGAGTGAAATACGAAAAATGTTCATCTTTTATTATGCTGCTGTCTCTCTGTGCCTGGGATGGAAGAGCACCTTGCTGGCTTAGAGTCCTAAGAAAGGTTCTGTGTTTAGTTTTTCTTGGTTCTCAGTGAAGATTTTGACAGAAGCCTAACATCTTGTAGGTTTGGTGATTTAACATCAGTTTTATCAGCATACTTTCCAGGCTGCCTGTTACTCAACTGGTAACAGCAGTAATTTTCCACGCAGCCATTCATGAGCTCAGACTGTCACAAGGAAGTGGGGATAGCACAAAGGGTGTTTGCTACACATAAGAAGAAAGATCCCGTTTGTCATTGCGTATAGCACATAACTGAGGCAGGAAATCTGGACTGGAGGACAGCTAAGCGGGAGAAGTTAGGACACCAGAGTGTGGTTTCTCCCTGTAGGAATAATCATTGAAAGCAGTTACTGAATACCTTTTGCCTAGTAAGCTGTAATTGTCAGTCAGCTATGTTGTATTTTATATGTGTAATTGAGGTTTAGAGGCTAAGATTTCCTCACAAACACTGAAAAACTAACTTCAAGTTAAGTCTATCTAGCTCTAAAACCCCTAGTTATTTTTTTTTCTGAGATAGTGTCTTGCTTTGTAGTCTAGAACTCAGGATCCTCCTGCCTCCATCGCCCAACTGCTGGGATTGCAGATGTGTACCACCATGCTTAGCCCCACCCTACCCTTTTGACTGTGCTTTGTATTACTTTTTATCAACAAATATGCTTGCAAGACACAGTGGCACATGCCTTTAATCCCAGGAGACAGAGGCAGGTGAGATCGAGGCCAGCGTGGTCTACAAAGTAAGTTCCAGGCCAGCTGGGGCTGCAGAGAGACCCTGTCTCCAAAAAGACTAAAACCAAACCCCCAAACAAAAACAAAACAAAAAATATGTTCAAGGCATTGGGAATGTAGTTAATGATAGAGCACTTACCTAGCATGTACAGGATCCTGTGTTCAATCCCTAGTATTGGGGAACAAAACATGTTTAAGTGTTCATTTTTGGTCCTACCCCTCTATATAGTTAGGGAATTGGGGAAGAATACTAAACTGCCAATGGATAAACCTTAACTTGTTCAAGAAGTAATCTGAGTTCTACGTGCTCAGGTGTACACTTGCAGGAAGAGCTGTCTGTCTCCAGGGAGAAGTGGTAGATGGTTGAAGACAATGTATAGGCTCTGGAGTCTGACAGACCTAGGAACTGAACCACAAAGACTTTTTTTTTTTTTTTTTTGAGACAGGGTTTCACTATGTAGCTCTGCCTGGCCCTATAGGAACTCACTTTGTAGACTAGGCTGACCTTGAACTCAGAGATCCACCTGCCTCTGCCTCCCACCACACCTGGCATCTTTGTAATACCAGCTTTCAGTGTAAGCTGTACAAAAGACAGGCCTTTGTCTTGTTCACCGCATCACACCTCTGTCCCCCAAGTCAACAGTAGGTAACAGTTACTAGATGCTGAATGCCACATGGGATCCTGGTAGAAACTGGGACTAGAAGCATATGTCTGCAGTGATGAGGCCAAGTTTTCAGTGCAGCTTGTGGACTGCTTTTGACAGCACTGCTCTTTGAATATTGCATGTATAATCACTCTGAAAATCCAGGCTCCTTGCTGTGTGAGTGCCATTGTAAATGAGGGAACAGTCACCTCTTTCCAGTAGGCACAGTGAGCTTTTAGCATTGTGTCTCTGAGTTTTTGTTTGATACAGGGTCTCCTGTAGCCCAGGCTGGCCTCAAAGGTACTGTGTAGCTAGGGTGGTCATGAGTACCTGATACTCCTGTCCCTGTTTGCCAAGTGCTGCAATCACAGATGTGTGTCACCATGCCTGGCTGTGGTTTTTGTTTTGTCTTGCCACGTAACACGGGCTGGCCTTGAATCAGAGATCCTTCTGCTTTTGCCTCCCAAAGGCTAGGACCACAGGGTTGTGCCACCTATATCAGTTTTTTTTTAAATTATTTCATTTATTTTTATTCTATGTGTATGAGTGTTACGCCTAAGTGCACCCGTGTTGTGCAATGCCCGAGGAGGATTGAAGAGGCTGTCAGATCCCCTGGAACTGGAGTTAAGGATAGTTGTTAGCTGCCATGTGGGTACTGGGATTCGAACCCAGGTCTTCTGCAAGAACAGTCAGTGTTCTTAACTGCTGAGCCATCTCTCCAGGCCCCCCAACACCAGCTTTGTATTTGT